AAACCTAATAAATATGATTCGATCTTTGGCTCTTTGCCCCTATAAAACGTGAACCGTTGATATTATCGTGTCACCACAACCATCAATATCTCCATCGCTATTATTGTTGGCTGTGATTGATTATTGAATGCTGGTGATGTTACAGTATCAGAAGTCGTATGTTATGCTTTTATGGAATAACGAAGTTTTATTAAAAAGAAAACTAGTAAAATATTGGGAAGTGATTCGTACACAATAATTTTTTGTCATACACAACAATTTATGCATTATAGAGTTGTACAATACAACACTTTAATGCACAAATTGTTGTGTATGGAAAAAAAAAAAATATTGTGTACGAATCAGTTCCCTAAAATATTAGTAAAAGGGAAGCGTTACAAAACAGAATTAGCTAATATAAGGTTGTGTTTAGCATAGTAGTTGAAAGCTGTTGGATAAAAAGCTAGTTGTTAAATAAAAAATTAAATGAAAAAAATAACATTTTGTAAAAATAGCTTAAATATATAAAATAACATAAAAGAATATGTAAGAATATGTGTTTTTATAATCAATTAAGGGTGTATTTGGACATCTAAAAAAAAAAAAAAAAAACCTCCTAAATGTTTGGCGCGTCACATCTAGTTGAAAAGCTAACTTATTTTTCAAATTTTTTTAAGTTGTCATGTCTGACAAGCCAAAAAGTAGTTTATAAGCTAGTTTATAAGCTAACTTTCTAAAAAGCTACTTAGAATAGTTTTTTAAGAGCTTTTTTAAAATTTTCCAAATATACTCATTAATTAATTATAAAAACATATTATTTTAAATGTCTTTTAATGTCATTTCATATTTAAACTAGTTTTACTAAACGTTATTTTTTATCAGCTACTTTTCAGCTATCAGCTAACTTTTTATTTAACAGCTAGCTTTTCAGCTATCAACTAGCTTTTTAGCTAACAGTTAACTTTTCAGCTAAGTAGCTTTTCAAAAAGCTTGCTTATAAGCTACTTTTTGACTTATCAAATACGACAACATAAAAAAACTAGAAAAATAAGCTAGTTTATCAGCTAGTTGTGACACATCAAACACAGCTGAAATCGCATATTTAGTTACTAGTGACACTTAAAAGATTAGAGTGTAGTTATATATATGTGGCCATATATAGCTTAATATTGATTTTTCATGAAAATGTGGTTAAGATAAAATTATTTATCTGTTTCATTTACCATGGTTTAGATAAGTAATGTTTGAAAGATATTTTATAAAATCAAGACAAAATTGTGGAAATTGAAAGAGAAAAAAAATGGGGGAAAATATTTTAGAAGTTAGGAAAAGAATTACTAATTTACTTTTACTTTTGAAAAATGTATATTTTCATAATATATTTTAAACAAGCCACATAAGGATGCTGAGAGTGATGTCATACTTGTCATAGTCTACATAGACGTCATGTCAGTTTTGTCATATTTTAACCAAAATTTGTCATTTATTTGGTATGTGTTGCCAGTTGTCATGCTATTTTTTTTTTCTAAGATTAATTAATATAAAAATAAAAATTTCAAACATATTTTTTTAAAATCTTAAATTTCGTTAAACTTAAAAAAATTACAACACATCTATATATATATATATATATATATATATATATATATATATATATATATATATATATATATATATATATATATATATATATATATATATATAATTTCAAATTACAAACCTGAAATTTAAATAATGAAACCATGAAAATAAAATAACAAAACCTAGATGTTATATTTTTTCGCGACCTCCTCTTTTGTTTTTACCGTCATTTCCTTTTCACGTCATGTGAGAGCACTACTATCTCTCGTTAAGATCGTCATGGCACAGTTTTTTTCTTTCTCTTGTGCAACCGTCAAATATTGTTCCAAAGACGCCTTCAAATTGTCCATTTTGGTTGTTAGTTAGTCGATGTCACCCGAAGCATTTCACGAACCACTTGCCTCCGTTTTTCCCATTCGCTTGGTTCGATTTCTTCCCATGGGACGAGTAGCTCTTGGAGTCTCAAAAGGCTTCTCTTCATTGAGGTTAATCCCAACATGCGCATCAGGCGTTCGACTATGCTTCATCTCAGATGTTTTGGTTCTTTTAGAAGAACCACCGTAAAGGTTTCAAAAACGTCGACCTCTTGCTATTTTTTTCACAATTTCAAAATATTCCAAACATATAGAAATTTGAAATTGGGCAATTTCTGATTCTGGTACACTTCAACAATTTTTTTCAAAATAGTTTTATCATTTGCACCACTTTGCCATTGTTGTTTGACACTTGAAAACACCCCCATTAAACTTTTGTCACCACTTTGTTGATATTTCTCCATTTCGAATAAATTTGGTCTTTTCTCCGGTACTCTCCAAGATTCATCTTCGTGAAAAAACGCTGTATAATTTTAAGGAAAAAAGTTGGACAATCTTGGTTGTTTCCGACAACTGGATCTTCAGAAACATTCACCCACGCACGAGTTAATACCTTTTCTTCGGCGGTGTTCATTGTTTTAGAGTTGTTCTTCCAACTTTTTTGTAGTGGATTCTCTTCTGGCTCCAATTTTGTTTTGGGACGACTTCAGGTTACCCTTGAGTTTGGAATTGGGTTTGGAAATCCATTGGGGAGTCGGGAAGATCATCAAATAGATTGAAGTCAGTTTCCATTAAGAATGAGAAGTCCATTTGTGGTTGGTTTGAAATTAGAGTTGTCTTTGAAATTGTGGTTGGTTTTGAAATTGAAGTTGGTTTATTGTGTTTGATTTTAGTATTGAGGTTGGTTTTTGGTTTAAAATGGGTAGTAAACACTACCACAGTGTAAATTTTGTGGATAGTAAATTAGCCGATCGCTTTAATTTTGAACGAATTTTGGTGAAGAATATGAAATGTTTGGGTTTTTGGTGTTTCTTTGTGTATATATATATATATATATATATATATATATATATATATATATATATATATATATATATATATATAGTTTTTGGGTAGAAGGAGAAGCCATTTTTTTACAAAAAAAATGTATTGTTTGAGTGAAAAAATGAAGATGGTGAAGTGAGATAAAATAGAATATGTAGTGTTATTTATGTAGTGTAAAAAGTGGGGATTTTTTGAAGAAAAAAAATTGAAAAAAAGAGTCACAAAGACCCTTCCAACGTTCAACTCATTCAAACCCATACAATGGCATACACTCTCTCTCATCGTTATATTTGTGCCAAGTTGTCGAGTCGAGCTCTAAGGGCCCGACCTAGTGTTTGCTGAGCTAGCCGAGACCATTGTCGAGTCTACTCCCAGAAGCCTAATGCACACAATATTCTGCAGTTCGAACTTGAGGCTCGTTTTATTTTGAAGTGTGCGTAGCCTACCCAACAAGTAGACCTAAATAACCAGCTTCTAGTCCAACTAGCTAGAGCTCAAGCCCAAGCCTCCAAATTGAAGCTTTGGAGAGCCTTCAAAGCATGCCATCATTTTTATAATTTATAATTTTATAATGTTATTGTTATCTTTTAACTTTTTTGTATTTCTTACGTACAAATAAAAAATGAGGTGTTTTTATAAAAATAAATTGTGTAATATTTAACTGGGTTTGGAGGTTCGTAACAACCCATCCGACTATCTAAGAGTGGTGAAGGTGATACATGGTTACATATTATATTTCAAGAAGACAGATTATATATGTTCGTGTAAATTAAAAAAAAAAATTTATATACTTTTTTTGTAGTTATTCTAAAATTATTTATAGGCAACTGCCCACGTTTTTCCGACCCTAGACACGCCCATGCATGGTGCTTTCATGCTTTGGAGTCTAGGGTGCAAAGGTGGAAGTCTAATACCACATGGCTCAACATTTTAAAGTTGTCCTTCGTGTTGCGTGGGTATTGATCTTTTTGTTTTTAAGAAAAGGTTGGCTATCGTTCTTTACTTCTTTTTCTTCTCAGAGGATCTTTGGTCAATTGGCTGGAAGATTCATATCTAAAATGTATATTTCCACAAGTGTATGCTTTGGAAATAGATAAGTCAATTTGTGTTAAAGACAAGATGGATCAATTGGTTGGACCTTTCTTTGCATGGACCTCCTAGCGGGAGACTCAAAGAAATCCAGTGGACTACTTTGGAAGGCTTGCTTAGATCCATGTTCGAAATCTAGCCTCCTTAATCCTTAACCTAGTTCATTGCTTGGAAGCTTCCCACACCTCTCCTCTTAGTCGAGGTTGTTTCAAAAACGAACACAAAGAATCATAAACTTTTTTTGTTAGGTTGAAGATAAATGTACATATGATAAGTTGGAATTTATGAGGCACCCGAATTGTTGCCTTTCTAGTTGGGATTTTCATGTTTTCTTTGAGTTTTTTTTTTAAGGATAACAGTATCTCGACTTTTTGCTAGTTTTTATGTTTGTGTTTTGTAACCATTAGATGTTTATCGTGTATACCGTCAATAACTTAAAAGGTAAAACTGATTTTCCTATAAAACGTATCTTCAAAAGAAACAATAGATGAACAAAAAAGAGAACAACTATTTGTCAATGACATTGACTCCTTTTTGTTTTAATGTTCTTTTTTTTTGTACGAATATGTGTTTTTTTTAATAAAAATCCAAATGTTTTGTTTTTATAAATTTATATAGTACACGAGACATTACCAAACCCTATACACACACATCAACAAAAAAAGACTTGTATTTCAGTAAAAAAGAAAACGAACACATAATTACACACTAATATATACCCTATAATAACATTTACAATTACATTACACATTACACCTTTTACCCAAAACCCCCTCCTCCCCAAACTTCCACACAAGGCTATTTCCGTAATTCCACAACCAAACAAACCAAACACCGCCTTACAATTCCCTATGGCTATGCCTCATCCTCTCACCCAAAAGGTCAATTCTCTCCTTCACCCTATCAAGCACCTCACACGCACTCTCACTCCCTTCCGACCTCCTCCTTTGTATCTCATCATGAAACATGGGATGAAACCTCGTTTGGAAGCTTCTATAAAGAAAATACGGCAAAAGCGTCGACACAACAACCAACAACGTTGTCATCCAAAAAAACGGCGTTGGTGCACACGCTTCAATAAAAACACGATATGCGGTTGTTGACCATTGGGGTTTTAGGTATCCGTACACGATTAAAAATACATACCAAAAGAAGATGCTACCCCAAATGAAAAAATGTTGGATCCATGTGAAGTAGTTGATGGAAAGTGCCATCTGGCAGTTGACAGCCCAGACGACACATGTGTACATTATGACACCTAGGATTTCGTAGTCGATGACGTGGCCATCTGAACGGAAGGCTTGGTGGATTGTGGAGTTTTTGCATATGAAGAAGATTATCATGGAGCTTAAGAGTCCGTTGAACATCCATCCTAGGATTCTTGGCCAGTTGAAGAGGATGTTTTGTACTCCCTCTTGGTATAGCATCGGGTACTGCGTATTATCGTTTTATAAAAAGTTTTACTTTAGGCACTTGTACTTTTACTATTTATCGATTTAGTCGTGTAACTTTTTTATGCAAGTGAATGTACTTTTTTCAACCCTTTAAAATATAGATTTTATCGATTTACTTGTTCAACTATTGTTATTTTTTTTTTTATTGATTTAGCCACTCAACTTATAATAATAATTGTAATCGGTGGCTAAATTGATAAAATGCTTTCTTGTATTTTAACATTTTTTCGTACTTTGGTTAAAGGAGAATATGTGTTTTAAAGGGTTAATGTCATGAATGGGTAACGATTAACGAACTATCTGAGATTTTCAAAAACACAATTGTTTTTTTTAAGTACCCTTAAAAGGTAAAAATGCAACTTTTTGTTACAAAATACCATTAAAATAAGGATATACTGTGAATAGTTTTTTTTTTTTTTTTAAAACAATTGTGTTTTGTAATATATAAAAAAAACACACACAAGTAGTTTGCTACCCATTTATGACATTAACCTTTTTTTAAAACAGTGATAAAAGTAAACGACTATTTTTGGTCCCTTGGTATAGCTGATTTTTTTTCAATTTTTGTCTCAAAAATATAGTCATTTAATTTGGAACAAGGACTAAAAACGTTACAAAAACCTTGAGGACCAAAATTGCAAAAATAAAATATACTCACGTACCAAAAAATCTAATTTACTACAAAAAATAATTTTCTTGCAAGCATATGAGTAAGCACAAAAGGGAGTTGAATGGATGAAAAGGTAATTAATTAAGTTAGAAATAGTTCTAAATGCATAAACCTTTTAAGATTTGTTGTAACTTGTATGTATTAAGTCAAAATGAAACATTTAAGTCCATTAAATCAAAATAAATAAATAAATAAGTTACCTTTAGGCAAAGTCGTGCTGAAACATCTTGATCAAAAACACCAAGAGCAATGACAGGAAGTGAAGTGAAGAAAACATTGTAAAATGACATGTACCAATCATTGTAAGCGGGTTGACCCGAGAATGAAGCATGTGCCTCAAACCAAAATAGTGTGAACCCAAAAGCAATGTTTTTGTAGAAGAAATAGCATATCTGTAAATTAAATAAATAAATACATATATCATTTAATGTATATTCAAAACATTAAATAAACACACTTTCAAGTTTCAAGTTTCCACCACTAGGATATGACAAGTTTTCTAGGACTATTTTTTTTATAACCAGGATGATGAGGGCATTTTCGTCTTTTGACAGACAAAAGAGAACCCCACCTTTTATCAAATCATTGTACAACTTCACTTCTTTCTATTACAACATCATACTTTCATTGGAGTAAATTACACGAATGGTCCCTGTGGTTTGGGGTAATTTGCATGTTTGGTCCCTAACTTATTTTTTTAACACGGAAGGTCTCTACTGTTTGTTTTTGTTGCGGGTTTGGTCCTTGTCTTACCTAAAAAGACTATTTTGCCCTTGATTTTATAATTTATTTAAATAAACACACCCCAACCCCACTTCCACCTCACCTTACCTACCCCATTTTATTTAAATAAATTAAAAAATCAAGGGCAAAACAGTCTTTTTAGGTAAGACAAGGACCAAGCCCGCAAATTAAAAAATAAGTTAGGGACCAAACGTGCAAATTACCCCAAACCATAGGGACCATTCGTGTAATTTAATCTATTTATTGGGTAGATTGTTAAAAGTAATATATGTTAAAAAAGAAAGTATGATGCTATAATAAACAAATCAATGAAAGTACATTGTTATTTCTAGTGTTTACCACTATTGTGTAATATGAGGAATATTTTTGGTAAAAATAAAAAAAATAAAAAAGAATATTATTAAATCATGGTTTTACTTTACCATCATAGCTATTCGTCTGTAGCACCAATGTCCATGTACCAATAATAATCTTTCAAGAAAACGAAATTGAGCTATGGCAAAATCACTTGCCATTACAGCCTGTAATTAATTATTTAAAAAAAAATCAGAAAATAAAAATATAAAAAGTACAATGTTGTAATAAATAAGAAGGAAAAAAAAAAAAAAAAAAAACCTGCATTCCTTCTGCACCACTTATTCCAACTCCAATGTCAGCCTCTTGAAGCATCCCAACATCATTTGCACCATCACCAATTGCTAATGTTGTCTTTCGTGTTCCTTCTTTTACCATTTTAGTAACCTGTGTGTGTGTGTAAAAAAAAATAATAATAATAATAATTTAATTAATGTGAAATTACTTGAAGATGATAAATTTGATAGAATTTGTTTGGTTTGATGAAATGGAAAGGAATGGAATGAATCATCATGTTTGGTTTTATGCAGAAAACTAAATTTTTTGATCAAGTCCTAAGAGTTTTTTTTTTTTTAACAGAAAAGTCTCATTATTTTGGGAAAATCACATAATCTGTCATTTCTTGTTAAAGTAAAAAAAAAAAAAAAAAAAGGTCTTTTCCGTTAATTTGGGCAAAATGTTAAATAATCGGGACTTTTCTGTTCAAAATTTTTTTTTAGGACTTTATCAAAAACTTTCCCAAAATAATGAGACTTTTCTGCATAAAACTCATTAAAGTATTGGTAGTTAAACCGCATTTTTCCATTCCATTCCATGATTGAAGGAAACAAAAACACCTTTTCTACCTATGTTAATACTTAACAATGGAATAAGCTATTCCATTCCTTTTACCTAAGAAAATTACTTACAAGAGCTTTTTGTTTTGGGGATGATCGACAACAGATAACAGATTTGCAATCAATTGCAACATCCAAAAACAAACTTTCAAGATTTTTTTCAAGAGCAAAAGTCAAAGATCTTCCATCAATTATCAAAGCAAACAACACAGAGCTACTTTTAGCTAAATCAAGTTGTGATCTTCCTTCCATTAATTGCTTCCTTATGCTCTCTCTCTTTGCCTACAAAAATTTCAAAATGTTTTATCAAGTGATTCTCATTATTTAATTAATATTATCTTTAAACAAATAATAATAATAATAATAATAATAATAATAATAATACGTTTGTAATGGCTTCCTTGTTGTTTAGCTTTTCTAAAGCTGTAATATCATGTGAGTCTAATGTGATCACAATTTGCTTCATTCCTTGAATAAGCAAACTACATGCGTATCTGTAGATGTCATGGTCAAAGAGTCAACTTCTATGATTTATGTGATAAAAAAATGTTGAAAATAAATTAAGGTTGTGATATCATATCATACCCTATGTTTATTGCAGTCTCCATTTTATCACCAGTTAAAACCCACATCTTAATTCCAGCATTTGAAAGTTTTTGTATGCATTCAGGAACCTTGAAAACCAATATAATATCATGTGTTAAATAATAATCATAAAAAATTATGCTGTAAAAGTATTAGAGAAAAATAATGGAGTTAATGAAAAAATGACTAAAATGGGTCTTCAATGTTCATATCTAACAAATCCACCATCTTTTTGACCTTTTACTAACAAAATAAACTTAAAAAATTGAAAAAGATTCGATTTTGCAATTCAGAAAAGGGTTAATCTCAAAATAGACCTTACATTTTGTGTTTTTTTATTCCAGATTAAACCTCAAATGTGAGAAAGACCTTGTATTTTTTCATTTTTTTCCGATCTTGTCCTTTAAGTCATTTTTTCCAAAAAAATTGTCAAATGTGAGGGTTTTTTCGAGAGAATCTAAAAAGATTGAGGGTTTATTCGGAAGTATTTAGAAGGTTGAGGGTTTTTTTCGAAAAAAGAAAACAAAGTTGAGGGCTTTTTCTTAAAAAAATGAAAAACACAAGGTTTTTTTCAGGCAAAAAATAAAATTTAGGTTTAATCCGGAAAAAAAAAAACACAAATTATAAAGTCTTTTTTGAGATTAACCCTTCAGAAAATGATGATGTCATATTTTGCAGCTTTTTTGAGTAAAAATAATTTTCCAAATTACTGGAATTTTATAATTAGGCATTGTGAAATAGGAATCCATTTTGTTAAAAAGTCAAAAAGGTGGTCAAATAGTCAAATAAAACCCGACCCATTTTGGTAATTGTGATGATTATCCAAAAAATAATGACTTTTTAAATTTTTATACTTACCCCCTTTTGAAGTTTATCTTCAACAGCTGTAGCACCAAGTAAAATCAAGTTTCTTTCAATCTTTTCAGCAGCAGCATCCACCAAATCATCACGTTCAACAGACACTGAAGTTTTAGCTTTTATAAACTCTTCTTCCCATTTTTTATATTCTTCTTCTTCAAGAACACGATATGCAATCACCAAAGTCCTTAAACCTGCCTCTGCATATTTGTTGATATGATTCTTTGTTTCCTCTTCAAAGGGTTGACTTTCTTTACAAAGTCTTTCAAACATGACACTGAATTTATAAAAAAAGAATATATACAAATGTGAGAGGAAACTGGAAAGATTTTATATTTAAATTTGAATGTTTATAGTTTATGTGTTAAAAGAGTAAGTAAGCCACCTGTCAGCACCCTTGCAGAGTAATAATAGTTGATTTTCAGTGTTTCTTATGATTACTGACATTCTCTTTCGAGAACTGTTGAATTCTATCATGTTTAGGAGCTCATATGATCTGTAAAAATTGTGAAAATGTTAAAAAGATTGAAACTTTGTAATGTTTTTTTTATGATTAAAGATAGGGATAAATGCAAGAAAGTAACATATTTTCATTTATTTGAGTATTACATCATCTTACTTTTTAAATATTTCAATAACAATATTGTACTTTCAAATTTTTTCTTACAACTTTTTTCTTATTAGGAGATTATACTTTGAAATATATACCCAATTGCTTTGTATTTGGATTGCATTGCTATAAATAGATAGATATTAGCCTTTTTACAATTATATTTAATCATATTAGTTTTTATGAAAAGATTAAATGCAAAATGTACTTTCGTTGATTTCTTTAGTATAGCATCCCACTTCAAATTCTTCCTATTAATATGGAGAAATGAAAGTAAAGTGCCATAATAAACAAATCAATAAAAGTACATTAACATTTGACATTTCTTTCATTTCACCCTTCTACAATTTTAGTCATGAATTATGCAAAAAAAATAAAAAAATGTATCTAAATATTATCCCACCTGTCAACCTTTTGGCCATTTACACATTCATGCAAAGAGATTCTTGTTTGTGTTCTTTGAAAGAATTCAAAACCAAGTTCTCTTGCAGCTATAACAAAAGCAGCTTCATCAGGTGATTCAGCTTCATATGAAAGTTCATTTGTTTCCTTATTAACTTCAGGTATTGCTGTATGACAAATAGCCAAAACTCTAAAGAACTTCTGTATAATATCTGAGTTACTTTCATTAACCCATTCTCCCTTCATTATCCTCTCATCCCTAAAGTTAAAACCCTTAATCAACTTCCCTGATTTCACATTATCACCACCATGGCTGCCCGAGGTATCACCATGGCTGCCCGGGCTGCCCGTGTTTTTCCTCTTTGCAAGAGCTAACTCCACTTCTGTCATCCCACGTCCATAAGCAACACCTCCTATTGAACATTTAACAAACTCCATTGAATTACATGTCAATGTTCCAGTTTTGTCTGAAAGAATTGTGTCAACTTGACCGAGTTCTTCGTTTAAATTTGATGTTCTAGCTCTAGCTGGTTTGTTTGTTTCTTCATGATACATATCTTGATCTTGATTTATGAATATGCTTTGTAATACTTTTACCATTTCAATGGAAACGTATAAAGATATTGGGATTAAGTATCCGTATAACATTAACCCTGTTAAGAAATGAAGAAATGCAGCTAGAATTGGTCTTTTTGGATCATAAAGAGCAGTTGTTCTTGTGGGTTCAAGATACCATCTTCCATAACTTCCATGGTTTAAGTCTCGACTTGTTCTTATGCCAAAAAAGATTGATCCGATGAAAGATATTGAAATCAAAGTGGTGAAAAGAATGTAGATTATTTTATCCATTCTTTTTTCTATCTTACTTCTCTTTGAAGGAGGATCTGTTGCATTCTGCATGACTTTAGTATCATGTCCTGTGAAAATCACCACTCCGTATACATACTCTGTGTTTCTTAATTTGGAATCTCTTAATAGAATCTGTTGAAGTGAAAGTGGATGCTGTTGACCATTGTAGGATAAGCTTCCAATGAATGAGTAAAGATCTTCATTTGGATCTTCACATTTGACAACTGCTTTGAATTGGTGAAAGGAGGTGTCGTTGTTTAAAGAAGATGTGAAATCGAATGCGTGTTTTAATTTCAGATTAGTTTCTCCATCTAGATTCATGGTTTCAACATAACAGATCCCATCTGGGTAGCTTGATGAAAGGAGAAGAAGATCTGATGGAAAATACTCATCTTTATTCACTTTAACAAGATCACCAACTCGTAAATCTTTCCATTTGCTTTGAGAAAATGAGTGGCCTCTGTATACTTGGATCTTTCTATTGTTGGCCTTTATGTCCTGAAAACCAAGTAAAACATAGAGTCAAATCTTCGATATGGAAATAAAGGAAGGTTTCAGAAGGAAAAAGAAAAACAATGAACATATGAGAAAAGTACCCAAAAGAAAAAGCAACTTTACCTGTTTCCGACGTCTCCAATCTTCGACGCCTTCTTTTGCCATGGTTGCCCCAATCACGACCAGAAGAGGAAAAAGGATACTGGAAGCTCGAAAGGGTGCCAATGGACTAAACGAAACACAAGCTACAACAAGAAAGTAAATATTTGCAACGCGCCTAAACTGTTCAAACAAAGACTTCGGAATGAAATTGATCGCTGTGTACTTCGTCGTCGACACGTAATTACTCCGGTATCTGAGCTGAAGTGCCTCTGGATTCTCGGGATCATTGCAATACACAACTCTAGAGTATCCCTTTTGCCCGATTTGAGCATGTTCATCACTTGTTGAAGGTCGGAAACACGAAAGAGAATAAATTTTACTAAATCGAATCCTCTCATTCCTACCAAACGGCATCTTGTATAAAAAACCTAATCCGCCTGAAAACTAACCTCCGGTTTCAAATTCCGATTACACACGGCAACTACACACATTCCGACGAAAACGTATACACTAAAAGACGAAGAATACACAATGAATCGGAAATACATTCATCAATACTTTAGAGTTTACAGAGCTTTAGAACTATAACTAACAGTAACTTAACAAGTTAATATCTAAACATAGCAAAAACAGATCTCCATAACCTGATCCATCACCATATGTTCCACATCCAAAAATAGAAACCGCATCTAAGCTTTCGGAATTCGGCTTCAACTTTAATTTATGTACTCGATATAACTACTTGTTTAACGAGTTTGGAAAACCAAATTTGAAACTTTTGGTGTCCAAATTGAGCTGTTGGAGAAGGTTCCAAACCCTAGAAGAAACAAAATACAAGAACAGAGTAGACAAAATTCCTTACTTTGGTCAGAAGTTGCAGAGATCTCTTACTTCCGCCATTAAATCACTGGTTAATGTTGTGTAGATATGGATATAGGCTAATATGCACATGAGTAATATTATTGTATAGTTTTGTATAGGAGTAGTTAGCTTGCTGAGCTATTGCCGTGTCTAGAAGCAAACAAACATAAAACGATACACACATAATGAACAAAATGATATTTGGGTAATCCACTTATATATATTTGTCTTTAATATTTAGTTTTATATTAATAATTTTTATTATTATTTTGTGTCTTAAAATTGATTAGTTATAGGGCATTAAATCATTACATTGATCGACAATGACTTGATAAAATATACAATGTCCTTTTAATTTATTTATTAATCAAATTTTACAAGGTATGATTTATTTTTTAAGTTTAATGATTTTTTTATTTGATAGAAAATAGAAAGAAAATGAATAGACTTTTGCCTTACAAACTCCCTTTATCCTTGAACTTATTTTTTTATTTAATAATGATTGAGACCCATTTTAGTCTATCTTGTTATCATTTCTATTGATGTATTTTTATATAGTTAGTTTTGTCAACTTAAATAATATTTATGGGTTGTGATTAATTTTTAAGGCCCTGTGTAAAAAGAAAAAATAGGTTGTTAAAGTTTCAGATTATCAGTGGATAGCGATGGATTAACAACAATCTCTATAGATTAGCATGAATAGCGACGGATTAAAGACAGATTAGCTACATATTAACAACGATAACGTAACAGATTAATGATTGATTACAAACAAATTATTGACAAATTCAAAGTTTGACCCTTCACGATATGTGTCATGTGTCATGTGAGATTACACTCCTATCATCATTTTAGGTTCAGCCCAAATAACATTGTTCTTTAACATTTTAGCTATTTTTAGGTTAAAAAATCCACTTTTTGGATTTGGATCTATTAGAGATTCTATAATAGGTTTTTTATCATGCAAAAATATGCAAAATGTATATAAAAAGAATGTATTTTCAGTCCTATTTTTCTATGAAATGTGTTATTGTAATCAATGTTTAAGACATTACATTATAATTTTATAATCAAATAAAGGACATGTTAACAATAACATAATTAATAACGACTAAAAGTATATTATGTAATGCACGATTTTTCATTTTATATATCTAAATTCTTTTCAAAGTCGATGATAACCACCACGTAGTAATCATGAACATAGGTTCAGAAAAAAAAAAAATAAACAAATAAAGTGAGACATTATGATAATTATCTTTGGGTGTTATCCGTTTTTTTATAGATTTTTTCTAATAATCAAAATTGGTAGAATTTTCTCGTTTCATATGAAACTCATGTTTAGTTATAGGGCAAAATCATTCAGATATTAAAAAATAATCATATATCTTTTAAAAAAAATGATAAATCAGGTACTTTTGCAATAAAAACAAAGCTATGGATGAAAATGAAGACATATTTAAGATTAAAAATTACTAATGAGCAATAATAATTGTAATTATATCAATTATAAGTAAAAGTTGTATTATATTATCGTTCAAAAGTACACCTGGTTACTATATTTTTTAAAAAAAGGTTATTATATAAAAAATAAAAAATAAAAAAAATAAAAAAAGTGAAGCCGTACAGATTTGGTCATGCAATGAAGGAAAAGGATTTCGAGACACAGAGAACGTCGGCTTTTAGTTTCTCGAATTCTTCGTCAACAGCAGCATCGTAGCCGTACACGTGTCGCGTATCTCTTCGTGAAAAAAAGGGAATATCTCAATTTCCACGAATAAATGTGCAAACGTTGACGTTCGTAGGCCTTGGTAAATCATATTTTCATCTTATAAAAATTACAAAATTAAATGTTATTACGAAAACATGGTAAATGTTTTTCAGTTTTAATTATCTTCAGATTATAAATTCACAAAAGTGTTCGGTTTTAAATCACTTTGGTTTGTAACCGCTTTGTAGGTTTTGGTATGGAAGCTGATCCGTACATAACGTATTTTTGGTCATCCACAACAAATTTTTATTAATTGACAAATTTACCCTTTTCTTTATTTTATCAAACTTTATATTTTACTCCCTCCAACTAAATTAATTAAAATATATAATTAAAACAAATCGAAAGATAAAAAAATGACAAATTAAACTATAAAATAAAAAGATATTAACTAATTTAACCATGTATTCAAAGAAAATAATATATATATATATATATATATATATATATATATATATATATATATATATATATATATATATAAATAAAAAGTAGGTTAATGCGGAAACATAAATATCTTATAAAAATTAAACACATGTACTATAAAAAATTAATTTATTAGAAATAAATTAAATATAATAATAAGTTTACATTTGATTGTGTTATGATAATATATATTTAAAAATGTTTTTAACAATTATTTTTTTTTTCACGTTATAAACCATTTTTAAATTCATGTTTTCATAATAAAAATATCAAAAATCATATTTTGTTAATATGACACAATTTCTCATTTATTATCGATTATCATCATGTATTTCAAAGTTTGAATAAATTATTGTCCAAAAAGATAATGTTGAGGTGACATAATCTCATAGGTTTTTCTAATTTTCGCGTTTTCGTAAATTATTTGTATTTTCGCATGAACTCTCCTATATATATATATATATATATATATATATATATATATATATATATATATATATATATATATATATATATATATATATATATATAGGTTCAGGTTCATTTGAAACCATTCTAATTTTGTGAGACCAAATCTAAAAATAATTTTAAAATGCAAAATAAATGGAAAAATCCAAAAATTATTTTTTTTAAATATTATTTTCGGAATATGAATTAACTAAAAAAAATAAAAATAAATAAAATATCCTGTTTTTTTTTTTGAAAAATACACTGACATACTCTAAAAAATAATTTTAAAATGCAAAATAAATGGAAAAATCTAAAAAAAAAATTTAATATTATTTTCGGAACTTGAATTAACTAAAAATAATAATAAAAATAAAAAAAAAATCCTATTTTTTTTTTTAAAATACGTGAAATATTCTAAATAGAATATTACACTGTACATATTCTAAAAATAATTTTAAAATGCAAAATAAATGGAAAAATCAAAAAATTCTTTTTTTAAATATTATTTTCGGAACTTAAATTAACTAAAAAAATTAAAAAAAAATAAAAATAAAAAATAAAAAAAATAAAAAAATGCGTCTCACAGTCTCACAAAATTAGGTCGTCTCATATGAACCTAACCCTGTGTGTGTGTATATATATATATATATATATATATATATATATATATATATATATATATATATATATAACAAAAGTAACCATTTACTCCGAAATGGGCATTCCAAACTAAGAAAAAACCTTTTTTTTTACAAATTTCGGAATGGCATTTTGTATTACGGACTAAAATTTCATATTTTGAAAAAAAAATCCTATGGAATTTCAAGAACAGTTGTGGAATTTCGAGAAATAATCGATTTTTTACTTAAAATTAGCAAATGTTAAATAAATATAGTAATCTGAATTATATATGATATTAGTACATATATTAGATTATTTATTGAAAAATGATGACATCAAACATTTCAAAATATAGTATTCAAAATCCAAAAAAACCAATAAAAAAATTTTGAAAAAAAAAACTCTGGAATATGAGCTATAACATTCTAAAATTTTAAGATCGTGTTCATAACATAATAAAGTAAATAAGTGAAAGATGAACTATATAAATAAAGTATTATGGGATAATCATATCATTAATTTATATGAAGTTTAGAAATTTAGAAGTGAAAATTTTAACATCTTAAAAGTTAAAGAGCTATTTGTGAAAATCGGGTGAGACTTAGGTTTAACTAGACATTTGACCAACTTAATAACTTGGAATAAGTTTGTGAAGATTAGGATGGAGAGGGGTTATTTGTGAAAATTAGGTTGACCTATTTAAAATAAAAAATACATAAATAAATTAACTAAATATTACACCAGTTTAATTATTTATAGACTTAAATAAAATTTCAAAGTATGACAAAAGCAGAATCTCAATTCACATATACAAAGAAATTGTTCAAATAACATTAAAGATATGTAATTTCTAAGTGATTTTTTAGAGTGACTAGTGTTTTCGATGCAAAATAAAAAAAATATGAATTAGGATTCTATTTTTTTAAAACATAAATAATAATACGAACATTATAATTTATAAACTAATACTTATTAATAAATGATAATATTTAAACAATTATTAAATTGTATATAAATTAAAGTTAAATGGTTTGTGAGTTGAAAACGGATTGATAATTTTTACGCGATCCAACCTATTTAATTAAATGGGTTAGACAGGTTGACCCAATTAACTTAAAGGAGATGAAAAAATCTCAACCCAACCCGCTAATTATGGATGGGTTTGGGTTTGGTTGGTAGGTTGGGTCGATTTTTGCTAATTCTAATATAAATATCTATGTTCCATTCAATTATTCATTTATGAATATCAAACAGTTTCTTTATAAAATATATATATTAATTTCATTAATCTTCTACTCACTAATGAATGAAGGTAACAAGATTGATATTTCTGATAGACCCACCAACAATGAGAGAAACACGTTCCATACAGAAAACTGACAAAGGTATAAAATTCCTATCATAATTGTTATATTCATTTATGAATAACTTGTATATCCCTACTATATTTTTGTTTAGTTAACATATAAATACTTCAATATGTATATGTTTTATGTAACGACCAAATTTTCAAAAGAAAATTTTCGTTTTTGATTAACCATCATACTTTCCACACACCATGAAATCCCAAATACAATTGTTTTCAAAATTCATATCAAATACAATTTTATTTCAAATCATATGAGTGTCCCGTAAAAACGCATGTGAGAGAGTTCACGCCGGGTCATCAGGCCTTGCCCTTGCCCTTGGGATCAGATGTACCTGAAACAAATCCACAAACTGTAAGCTAATGCTTAGTGAGTTCCCCAGAGCGTACCCCATACACAATCCACATAACATATATCACATTAGATGTAAAAGCTACATAAACACATAAGTCATGCATACAACATATAAGGAAGCAATGGAAACCCTTCAAGGTCTTACACATAGTGCCACCGGAACCCCCACGTGGTCTTACTACCTGCCATGGGAACCTCCACATGGTTTTTCTACCATGGGAACCCCCACATGGTCTTCCTACCAAG